TGATCCACCTTGTTGAACTGTATTAGTTCTGTAGAATTTCTTAGATTTTCTAAATAGACAATCATACCATGAACAAATAATGATAATTTTGTCCCTGCCTTTTTGATCCCTGTATCTCCATGGCCTCATTGGCTGGAAGCTCCACCACAGTACTGATTCCCACTATTTTACTTATCACTGTAGCTGTGGTTATGAGTGCCTTGTTCTCGACTTTAATGGAAAAGCTTCTAAACACTTCTTTTATGATAAATAAGAAAGTGTATTATAGCATATGTAGGGTTTTGTTAGATGCCTTTTTTCAAGCCAAAGATTGTCAAGTTTCATGTATATTTTGTTAAGCATTGTCTTTGAAAATCACAAACGAGCACCGCATCTTCCAGTATGCTTGGCCTGTGCCCACGCAGGATCACGTGGATGGCCTCGTTTTCTCTGCTGCTCTGGGGAATTACACGGATAGATATTCTTAAAACTACTGTGCATTCCTGGCATAAACTATGCTTGGTCTTATTTTTAAAACAGATTCTGTTCTGCTAAACTGGATTGGTTATCTTTTACTTGGAGTTTTGACATCTATGTTTACAAGTGGGGTTGCCATAGAGTTTTCTATCTTATATTGTCTTTGATGAGTTTTGGAATCAAATTATATTGTTTCATAAAATAAGTTGAATGGCTTTGTCTCTTTTTCTACTCTCTGGAACAGTTTGTATTAGCTCGGAGTTGCCTGTTCCTTGACTGTAGTAAAACTCAGTTATAAATCTTTCTAGCTCTGTTTGCTTTTTAGGGAGGACATTTTTGACTAGTGATACAATCTCTTGTTATTTTATTATTACCCTGTTCACCATAGGTAACCCTCACACCGTGCCAGGCTCCTGTTCTAATCTCAGCATTTCAACAATTTATACTCATTTAATTAACACAACAGTCTTACAAACTAGGTGCCATTACTATTCTGCTTTTACATGAGAAAAATGGAGCAAAGAAGGGTTAGATAGCTTACACAGTAATGGCAGAGCCAAAATTAACCCCAGTCTGGCTTTATAATCTGTGCTCTTAACCATGACAGTATATTAAAATTTTCTATTTCTTTCTGGGTAAATTTTGTTGATTTACATATTCTTAGAAAATTGTATCTTTCTTTCAAATTTTCAAAATTATTGGCATAAGGGTGTTATATATTCACATACTCTGTGACCTCTGCTATGCACTTTTTATCCTTAAGATTGTTTGATTTCTCTTTTCTCCTTTTTTCTTCATGAGTCTTGCTAAAACTTTGCTCTACTAGCTTTCCCCCCAAAACGACCAGATTTTAATGATGAGATGTCTAGATTGGCTTTAAAATAATCGAGTAAGGAGTATAAGGGTGACTGAGAAGACTGGCCATAGCGTGTCATTGTCAAAGGTTGGAATATAAGAGTTTAGTATACTTTTATCCATGCTTAGAAATTTCTACAAAAAAAGTAAATAAAAATAAAATGATATTTTTCCCCATAATCTCTTGAATTTAAAAATCCACATATTTTTCATTTATGTATGATTTTATCTTTATTTTCTAATTCTTTCTTTGGGTTTTTCTCTGTTCATTAGTTTTTTTCAATTAAATGCTTCTTAAATAATATTCATTCTTGTTCTCTAAGATGTACATTTGAGCTGCAAATTTCTCTGTAAATGTCAACTTTATCCTACAAGTTTTTATTATGTAGTGCTCATTTCTAATTTTAAAAATTTCCAGTGTGATTTCCTTTAAGCCAAAAACTGTTCAGAATTGTGTCCATAAATGTGTCTATATGTCTGAGATCTTGAAGTGTGTTAGAAAGGTTTAAGAGGAAGCTGTCCCATGAAAAACTGCTAACTCTAAAGTCCAATATTTAAAAGGTATGATACCACAAAGTCAACAGTTTTCTTTTAAATTTCATATTATAGTCAATGGACATTCTTAAGACTAAACATTAGCTGATTTTTTTATTAAAGATCAGTAAGTAACTTAATGGTTAAGGAAATTCTGCCAATTTTGAGGTCCCCAAGAGGCTGACCAAGACAGAATTAGACATTCAAGTGATTCATTGTGAAAAAGCCTGTGAAGGATAAGCAAGAGAGGGGGTTGGATTAAGTAGGGAGAGTCTCCAGACCGAGATGCCAATCTGACACCCATGAAAAGAGAGAGGGAAGGAAGGAAGGAGGGAGGAGGGAGAGAGAAGGAGAAAAGGAAGGTGGGAGGGGGATGGAAAGAAAGAAGAGAGAGAGGGAGGCAGAGGGAGGTAGAGCCCCATATTACTGACAGTTCTGAAAAAGCCTTAGCTCAGTCAAAGAGGAGTCTCCTAGCAAAGACAGTCCCACACTGGGCAGAAATGGTCCATACTTTGTGCCTGTGCTGTGCTCAGTCAGCGGCTAGGAGCAGCCTGGCAGGAGCATGGTCTCCACACCGACACAGCAGTGTATTTTGAAGGGCAGCGTCTACAGGCTGCCAGCCAGCTAAGGGGATCTAACTGATGCACCTATGGCCACTACGGAAATGTGTTTGAAGTGTACTGTCTTTGAGAATCTCCTTCTCACAGCCCAAATGCAAAAACCAAGACCAAAAACCTTTCTCCATCGAACAGCAAGTGGCAGACTGGTTATATCTAGAGAAAGTATTGAGCTTTCCCATAAGCAGGATTGCAGAAGAATTCAGAACCTAACACAGTGCCTAGGACATTGTGAACCCATGATGGTTTATGTCATTTGCTTTTCTTCTCTTGAGGAATAGTAATATGGCACCCTTCATTAAAACCAGGTGATCTAGGTTTGAGATTTCTAATCCTTACAACAACCCTACAATGTGGACATTGTTCAACGTCTTTGTAGGTGGATATGCTGAGGCTCAGAGAGGTTAAGTAACTTGCCCCAAGTCATACAGCTAGTAAGTGCTAATTCTGAAATTCAAACCCAATGCTGGCCTAGACCATTAGTTTTCAACCCCTGGCTCACCATCAGAATCACATGCAGAACTTTTAAAATATTCTGATAGTTAGGCTTCATCTCAGACCAATTAAATCACTATTTCTGGAGGTGAGCCCAGGCACCTGCATTTTTTTAAGCTTTTAAATATGGGAAGTTCTAATGTTTCCAAGGTTGAGCATGACTAGTCTTCTCCAACCCCTTGTTATAGTCCAGACTGGGGACCTGAGACTCCGAGAGGGGAGGTTATTGCATCCTACTGCGAAAGCACTGGAAACAGAGCTCAAAAGGTTTTCCTAGTCCCATGATGCCCTCTGGAAGCCTACTTGAAGTTGACTATATTCTTCTGCTATCCCCAAAGAGGAAGGGCTCTGCTCCTACAAGACTTTGTGTGCCCCCTGGTGGGCTAAAATGGTAAGGAGCCATTTTCTGGAGCAGAACTTAATAGGAAGGTCAGGAGCTCTACAGACTTGTATATTTATTGCCTAATCCAAATACTGCATGTAGATTTACACAAGCTGACTGTTAGGTGGTGGGACTCTGTACTTAGGAGGAAGAAAACAACAATACACACAGTCACTCTGGATTGGGACAATGCCTTGCCTCCAAGGACTTGCTATAATGCCAACTTTAAATCATACAAGGCCCACCTCATCGAAGAACTCTGGGAGAAATTTTTAAAATCTCGTACTATCTTTTATTAAGACAGTAGAGTCTTGTGGTTCATCTCACAGGTTTTGGAGTCAGACACACCCAAAGGCAAACTTTAGTTCCACAATTAATTAATCTTACAAAGTTTGGTGAACCCCATGGCTTCTTTAATCCTGTTTTATCATCCCTAAAATGGTCATTATAAGGCCTAATTCATCCAGTTGTTGTTAAGATTAAATGTGTGTGTGTAAAGTGCTTGGCAGTGTGCCTGGACTGTATGAATGCCCCTCCACATTCATGCCCCACAAACGGTTTTCACTACTATAGTACTGAAATGGACCCATGTTGGGTGCATTTTTACCAGGCCTGGAAGAAAAATCCTCAAATAGGAAAACAGTATTTTCAGTGCCATCTTATATGATCTGTGTGTGTGTCTACTTCCCCTCAGAGAGGGGCTTCAGACATCCATACTTTCATTGCAACCTTCCACATAATCCTTCCCTTGGGAGAAGGAGTTGGACCTCTGATCTTCCTTTCAACAAAGTATTTTTGGCATGTAGTCATATTCACATTCCTGAGGCATGCTCATGTGGAAAGGAGAAGAAGATGGGAAGAAACTGGCAAATGACACTAACAATGAGGGATTGATGCGGTATGAGTAAAACCAGGAAGGCTTTATCCTGGAGGCCACAGAGCGTCAAGACAGAGGAAATGGGCAGTTGGATCAAATGCTCTGATTGGTTTTAGGACCAAGAATTAACAGTCAGACTTAGCAGAAAGTGGAGGTCATGGGTGACCTTGACAACAGCAACTTTGATGGGGTGGCTGTGGTGAAATTCCAACTGGAGTAAGGAATTTGATACAGCAGGCACAGACTAACCTTTTGCGAAATTTTTCGATAAAGAGGAACAAATAAAAAGAAATGGGGTGGAAGCTGGAGGAGGGCTATGAGAGGGAAATGGGTGGTGCAGTAGCGAGAGGGAAGCCTCTAGAGCATTGTCCTTCCTAAGGCAGAGGGAATGGCATTTAGCGCACAGCAGAGAGACTCCCACAGGAGCACAGACACTGCTGACTTACGGCCACAAAGGGAGGGGCAGGTCTGTGCTCATAGATGCCCTTAGGTGGGTGGACGGAACGGGGGTCTGTGCAAGGTCTCTTCTGATGGAATTTGTCTTCTCCATGCAGCTGGAAGCAAGCCAGAAGCAAGGTCATCAATGCAAGTAGTTGGTACTATGTGAAATAAAGTGCCATTAAGAGACCAAGTGATATATTCAGCTTTGGAAATAGCACTCAAAGGGTGATGGGGATTTGGTCTAGTGAGTAAAAGTCTTTGCTGAAACATTTAAATAATGGAGCTCACAGGTAATTTCAACTGAAATTCAAATAAACGTACACACCTATGCAATGCTCTCCATTTTCTTTATTGTCTAATAACTATTTAAACCACTCTACAAAACACTCTACAACATTATTTAAGAAAACTTCTACAAAATCTAAGGTGGGAACTAAACCCCATTTACCTACCATCAAAACATCACACAAACACTTATTTTCTTAGAGGATATTTAGCTTTGTGGAATTACTTACAGGTCAATGGTACATCTTAATTCCATATGCCACAGTGCAGATTTACCCCAAGCATGTAATTCTTTAAAATAAAACAACATACATTTCTTTTGAACCACTTCAGATTAAGTTGTTCAGGGTTTTTTTTCCAGAAGTTAAAACTACGCCCTTTTCCCCATCGCAGCTTGTGGCAGAGATGAAGAAAGTGTACCAACTGTTCCTCGGATTCTTCACTCGGGGATTCAGGGATGCCGAGGTCTCAGGTTATCACAGGTAGAAGAGAGAATTGGCTAATTCCAAGCTTGGTTCTTTATGAATGCTCTGTGCCACCTGAGAGGTCAGCTTGTGTGCATACTGACACGGTGCTGGGACACTGATTAAGCCCTGAGGAGGAAAAAGTGTTGAGAGTAATTAAGAGGATAACTTGTTCTTCAAGGTAATTTTCTTCCCTGAGCTCTTCTGTTAGTTACATATACAAGAGAATGTTCGCGAGCAAACAGTACGTAGACTGAACCCATAGAGGGCAACCTTGCTCTCGGAGAACTTAAACTCACTGGGCAAGATGTGGTAGAGGTCAGTTTGGCCTCAAGCTGCTGGGAGCAGGGAGCCATCAGTTTTAGAGCTAATCTAAGTTGCCTAGAACTTGACGTTCCCAGGGGCTCAGAGCAAATCTTGGTCTGAGACTTTGAGAGCATCTCTTGGCCTCATGCACAGGGACACGGAACACAGCCATGCCCTTTCTTTCCTCACCAGACACAATGTCTGAGTTGGCTTCAACTTCTTCAACTGTAATATGGAAATAATACCTTGATTTCCTCTCAGGCTTCATAAGATAATGCACAGAATAGAGTCCTCTGGATTTTATAAATACTAATGTATTATAATAGTTAACTGCTATTTTGTTTCCATGACAGACTGGGTTTCTCCCACGGTGGGCCCAGTCTCCTCATTCATTTACTCCCTCTTTGTGAAAAGTCAGGCAATGTGTTAGCTGTAGGGACACAAAGGTGGCCTGGGGGACAGGTCCTGAGTGGGAACCCTGCGTGTCAGCATTTGTGTCAGTCAGCAGCTGTCACTCACTATCCAGTTGTAGTACAGGTGGCAGAGTTTGAATGTAAGTCTCTGCATGTGGTCGGGCTTCAAGCCATTGTCATCATAGATGACGTTGTAGTAGACGGGATTCACAGTTCCCCGGCAGGCCGCCTGGCTGATCAAGTAAAAGTCATACCTGAGGGGAAAATGGAACAAATGTAAGAAAGAAGGCAAAGGGAGGAAGGCCACACCTGGACAACACACAGCGGACGTTTTGTTAAAAACCGATTTTCAAACAGCACTTGCCATTCAGGACGCGTTGCTTCTGAATCCACCACGGTGCCCGGCGGTGGGTTCTGTACGGTGCGGTTCACTTCTGTAAAGAATCGTGGCATGCACTTCTTCCTGACCACGATCACCGACAGCCTGGAGCTTGGAACCAGAAAGGCCAAAAAAATAAGACAGAGAGAACTAAAACCAAGCCACGCAGCTATTTAGCTTTCCTGGTAATATTAAAATGGAATAAACAAATAAATCCATTCATTAGAAAAAAACACTGCAAAAAAAAAATTACTCTCAATCTCTCCTCTCCCAGAGATACATACATTTTTTTCTGTTTGGGACTGTCCTCAT